ATATATATATATATATCTATTAACTAATACTTTACGAAAAGCCCCTCCTCTGTAAACAGGTAGAGGCCATAAAGTACCTATAGGGGGAGAGCCATTGCTGCTCCCTCCGCCTGTTTACAGTGAGATCCCCCAATTCCCCCTGTCATCAATTTACAAGGTTGCCACATCGAACGGACATTCTCATGGTCGAACGAACGAACAAACGAACAAACGAATGATTAAACGAACAAGCGATTATCAATAACATAATTAACAAACAATATACAACAACATTCTTGGTTCACAACATAAAATAGCGTTAGTAATATAAAACGTTGAACGATATAAAATAAAATCAACTTCTCTAAATTTTCCCCAAATTATATCCACTTTTTCCTTTAATTTCAAACTTCGATAGTTCTCGCTAAGGTTGCTTGTCTAAACCTCTTCAAAATCCTACGATTAGTTTCGTCAAAATTTTACTATAGATTTATTATAGTTTCGGCAGAGTTTCGGCAGTTTCGGCATTTATAATAAGTTTCGGCAGTTTCGCCTTTCTCCAAAGTTTCGCCAGTTTTTTAATATAACTTTAATATAGTTTCGGCAGAATTTCGCTTTTCGGCGAAACGCCATCTTGCCTAAACCCCTAGGTTTCGGCAAGCAACCTTAGTTCTCGCTACGAATTATTACTTTTCAAAAACATATATTTCTTTGCTGAAACCTTTAATTTTTAAAAATATTTTTACAATATTTTTACAATATTTTTATAATAAATAAACAATATATAACTGAGACTCATAAGGGTATATTCTAAATATTATAATTATATATTAGCGATATTACTATAATATAATAGTTATATTTAAAATAATATAATAAATATATTTAATATATAATTATTATATTATAATGATAATTATAATTATATATTAAATATATATTTACTATATTATTTAAATGCATTTGTAATATAATAATTATATATTAAATATATATTTATTATATAATTTATATTATTTTAAATATAACTATTATATTATAGTAATATCGCTAATATATAATTATAATATTTAGAATATACCCTTATGAGTCTCAGTTATATATCGTATTACATATATTTACTATATTATAACTATATATATATCACATTTTAATATATATCGTAATGATATAATGAATATATACTAATTATATAATTAATATATTTAATATACATCGTAATGATATAATGAATATATATTAATTATATAATTAATATATTTTATTAAATGTGGTGTAAATATGTTTGTACCATAATAATTATATGTATACAATATATATATGATATAAAATCAAAACTCATAAATATATTTTAAATATCTTAATAATATGCTTGTTATATTTGTTATATTTATTGATTATAATGTAAATATGTTAATGATATTTTACATGTATTAAAATAAGTTTATTTATTCATTTATCATTAAAAGAAGTAGATGTAAATAATAGTCGAACAAAAAAGAATAATAATACATATATAATCTATCTAAATCCCATTCACAATAACCTTGTCAACCTTCTTTTAGAGTAAGTCCGGATTTAAACTAAAAGTTATGTATTAACCTTAGAGTGAAATACTTTTAACCCCTGGATGAAATCAAGTAAAAGAATTATTAAGGTTAGAAATAAAAATAGTTATGCTGTATACAAAATTGATTAGTGGCCAATTTTGAGCATGATCCTGTCAGGTATGAAATATGCATTAAAAAAAAAAAAGCTTTTGGGGAATACTGACCATTTGCACCTGTTATGAAGGAGTGATTAATGTTGATAGCCTGTTAAAGTTATCATTCTTGTGTATAAATGTAGTCTTCTTCAAATAGGAGTTATTAGGATCAAAATATAAATTGAATCTTGATTATGCGGAACATTAGTTTCTTTAAGATCTTTAGATAATTTAGTCATGTATAGCATCGATAAAGGCAGATGCTTTGGCACATGTTTATTTCAATCTTGGAACTGCCTATACCATTTCTAAGATAGATGATGAGACCATAATGTTATCAGGACCTGTCAATGTAAAGTATCGGGTATATCCTTTTCCATTGAAGTGTTGGTTCATAGATATGCATTTCTTTATTGTTATACATAACGATAATTAATAAAGTCCCACTTCGTCTAAAAAGGATTAGGGAGTAAAATCAATAACCTGAGAATGAAAATCTAAAGAAAGTTTTTCACAAAAAGCCCAAACGTAAAAACACAGTTACCATTATTTTAGATTTTTGTTTGAAAGAAATATGAAAGTAAAAAGAAGAAACGTTAAAATTCATCTATGAAATAAGCTAGAAAAAAAAGCTAGTGATAGGAATTTCACCTGAAAGAACTTGCCTAAAGAAATGGGAAAGCTGCCTAAGAAAGCAGAGAAAGGAACAAAAAAATAGTAAGTTAGAACCCGCCTACAAGAAAGCATAAAACTCAACGCAGGTTTAATGAAATAAGAGTAATGGAATGAGTTAACTAACTTACAGAAAGAAAGTGTAAAGTTAAAACCTCTACAAAAAGCATAAAAAACTCAACTTTTATTTAAAGAAGAATAATAGGACCGCGTTAACTGACTTACAAGAAGGAAATGTAAAGTTTGAGCCTGCTTACATGAAAGTGAAAAACTATCTAAGAAAGAGAAAAATTAAACTTGGTTAAATTTGTAGAAATGAGAACGAAATAAATATTCGCCTAAAGAAAAAGAAAAAAGGTTTAGGACCAGCCTATAAAAGTAAAAAGAATGTAAACAAAAAAAAAGAAATCCAAAAATGATCTATAGGTTACACTGATTACACAAGCATGGATCAACCAATAATAATTGTGATCTTACATTTGTATGTTGTATTGTACGATGTATGATCATAATTATTTTATATATTTATATATATATAAAGATGGATGAGATAAGGAAGAAATAACAAAATTTAATATTTTTATACTATTTTTCTAATAATTTTGTTATAATAAAGGCCGAATTTAATAAGATTCTGATAGATGAGCTGAAATTACTTTTTCTTAGAGTCAGGAACCCTTCGGATAATTCATTAGAAATATTACTAAAAACTATCGATCCTACAATTAGTCTTAATCAACTTAAAGATTATATCATTATTTGCAGAGGAAAATTTTCGGATTTTAGATATAATTACAAGGGTATTATATTAAAAAAAGCTCGAGATCTTGAAATTCATTTTAGGTATACCTTTTCAGATTTTATTATTATTTTTTAATAAATTATTATTTAGTAAATTTTTTTTTTTTAGAAATATTGGATTAGAGGAATTTGAAAATCTATTGAATAATATTATTACTGAAAATGATTGTAGACAAATTTTTGCAACACATATCTCTTGTGTTCATAAAGAATATTTTAAGAATGACCAAATTTCTTTAAATAGACTTTTTGATTTTGTTAAAAAAAGTTTATTGATTGGTATAAAATCTTTTTTTATACCACTTGACGTAAAAGAAGAACTTAAAAAGTTGGATAATTGTACTAGTTCTATTAAATTACAATCAAGGTATTATACTAATATTGTATATAATATAGATTTGTAATTTAAATCCAAATTTTAGTATATTATTTTATTAAAAATTAATGATAACTTACAATCCACTATATGATTTAAGTTATCTAATCGAGAATTTTCAAGAAATTTTTTAAAATGCTCTAGTACTCCCTTATGATAGCTTTGTTTTTTGTTTAAAATATGTCGAAAAGCAAAAGCACCGAGCCTATTGATTAATAAAAAATATGTAATTAATACTTAAAGTAATAAAAACATACGGTAAATTTAAATTAGGACTTTAAATTAACCACATAAATTCTTTTTTACTTATATTAAAGGAATATCTATTTGATGCATCAGTTTTACATAATACTGAATACAAGTGATCAAAAGCGTTATATAATGTTTCTGTATAACGAAAATTGCATTAGTAAGTACGTTTCACATGAATCTTAATACGGGCAAATCAATCACATGATGATCAATATTATAAAGTAAAAAATTTACCAATTTCGAAATCTTCGTTTCTTTGGAATTTTTGTCTGGTTATTCCTTTTATACAATGATGAAACTTCATTGCTCCCATTAGGAAATTCTGGTATATATTTAATAAGGTGGTTTCTCTTTTATTTAAAGAAGTGTCATAAAAAATTTTATGGTTTTTTGCTAACAAAAATCTGAATAAATCAAAAATTTAGTTATATTTTGCTATAATAAATAATATTAGTGATAATACTTACTCGATTATTTTTTGTTTTAAATATATACCGGGAGTCTTTGTCAATTTTATAGTTAGAGTATTAGCAATGTCTAATTTAATATAAATAATAATAAGTATAATAAGTGGATCTTAATAAATAGTTATTGAACTAATTATTAAATACTAACGTGATAGATTGCTGTATCTTGAATAATTTACTTTGACATTTAAATTACGAGTATTAATTAATATTCCACACCACGGGAACTCTTGATTAAAATTTAGGTTAATACTTTACAATATAAATAATAAACAAATAACAAATAAAATAGCCAAATACGTACCATAATCATCAATTTTATTGATTTTATTATTTTTAATAGTTAAATCAAAGTTTACCACACTTTTTTCATCATTTACGGTGCACTTATATTTGGAGTCATCTTGGTGCATTATTGTGATAAATTTTATCACATTTTGTTTGTTTGTGCTAATATATAAAAAATCGTCAAGGAAATGTAATAATAACTAATAATATTTACATAATATTAATATATCATTAAGTATAAGTATAATATAAAAAATACTTACTCCATTCGTATCATCAATAATATATTTAAATTCCTCCAGCTCCATAACTCCATAATAAATGCTACATAATAAGGACGATAATATCGATTCTTGTGGAATGCCAATTTTTTGTTGATAATAATTTTCATCAACCTATATTAATATATATTTAATTAATAAATTTTCAGTTAAAATAATTAAATAAATCATTTAAATAACATTCACTTGTATTTATTACTTTTATAATATTTTGTTAAATATGTTCTTCCAACAATTTAAAAACATCATCTACTTCCTTATATGATCTATACGCACTATCAATAAGAATCGCATTTTTATAATTTTGAGTTAATTTAGCACTGTATTTCGGAAAAGACAAAATTTCACCTAAACATATATAAGTAAAAGAAAATAAATTTAAAAGGAAAAATAATTAAATTAAAGTGCAATAAATAATGTATTGAATAATTACTTGAATCGTGAACATAATAATCTCGTTTTCTACAAACAGTTCCACCTTTTAAATAAGTAGCTTCATACTTATTCACTGAATATTTATTCTAAAAAATTATCACAGGTAAATTAATAATGATATTATATCATGTAAATAGGAACTTATTATTATACAAACTTCAGTAAGAACTTCTTTTCTGATTATCTCTATAAGGATATTTTGGTCAATTGTTTCAAAGCAACATTTAATGTCAACTTTGGCAAAATAAAGTTGAGGATTATTTTCATTGGCTAAATGTTGTTTATATTCTTTTAAACAAGCATGAACTTCGTTATAACTGAAAACAGATCCAGTTAATAATGAAGGATTTTTTTCCTAACAAATAAAAAATAAAAGAAAATAATATTTAAATATTTCACAATGATGTTCTTAGTAATATTAATTAATAAAACTTCAAACTTACTTTTTCATGCTTAAGGATCTGAAATGTCGTATTCAACATGGCATTAATTGATTTTGGTTGCTTTTCATTAACAGAAGTATGCATCGGGCGTTTCATATTAACAATAGGTCTCAGATTTCCTTTATTATCTTTAGGAATAAATTTTAATTTTGAATAGCCCAGTTTTTTGTCTTTAAAGATTCTTATTTCATTCTCTGGCGATATTTTTTCATACACAGAACTTGTTAAGGTAATAAGATTTTGTTTAACCATCCTAGACCAAATCTCTTGCCGATAATAGAACAACTGATTTCCTTGTTTAGCGTGGTTTGTTATATAAAAATTAAGCTATAAATATTTATATAAAATTTGTTAATAACTATAAATAAAATAAAGGTTTTTATTTTCTACGCACCTGCATAAATTGTAGGGTGCATATATTATATATAAAATTTTCGATTTTTGAATATTTTACGCACTGGTAAAAAAATTTAAATAAATTTTCTAAAAATAAAACAATGCATATGTATTTCTGTACGCATCCCTTCTATTACATAAAAAAATTATTTTTTCTATTAATTAAATTATATGCCGAAAAAGTATCAAAGATAAGCTCATACTATTAAAATACTATTAAAATGCAAACAGGCGACTGAAGGGAGCCGGGCTCAAATCACTACTGTAATTCAAGCCGCTGCAGCGGCTTGAATTACAGTAGTGATTTGAGCCATTAAATTACAATGATGTTTTCCTTTTCTTTCCTTTTTGATTGATTATTATAAACTTCTTCACAAAAACATACAATTGTTTGTTTTCTTAATTTAGATTCTATTTTTTTCTGATCTTCCTTTGCGTATGCCAAAGCCCTGCTGTTGATGAGCTTATTGCTTGACGTGGTTAAATGCAATCTTCCAGGTGAGAAAAGCCATCCCAACTTCCAATTTCAGAGTTTCATTGGAGGAACCACCATTATCTTCACCATCAGAGTCACTGTCATTAGGAATATTTTCAATAAAATCATTATCAAAAGCCTCATCGAAAATTTCATCATCGCTTGACATAAATTCGGAGTCACTCATTTTAGTTGTAATAAAATTTATAAGTGGGAGAAAGAGGTTGAGAGGAGAGACTAGAGAAGAAGAGGGGAGATAGGAAGAGAGGAAGAGAGGGGAAGAGGAAAGATGATAATCGTTGGGAAAAAAAAGTATAATATAATTTAAACACGTGATCATGTGAAATAAAAAAGTCTAAATTTAGACGCGTATCAAAAAAAGCTGCGCATGAGACAATTATGATGTATTTATTAAATAATTTAAATACCCATGTATATCAGAATTACTATGCATGGGATGCAATTTATGCATCCCGCATAAAAGTCAAATTCCTATAAAATAAAATAATAAAATTTTAAAAAATATATTTACTTTAAGAAGCGGAATTACGAAACATTCAAAAATCCACCAAATTAATTCGTACAACATTTCAGTACATTTCAATATTTCCAAATTATTATTGCCTTTAAGCCATTGGCATTTTTTGATCTAAATATTAGAAATAATTATTTTTAATAAATCAAATGCCATTTTAATACATAAAATAAAATAATACATAAAATAAAATTAAACAATAACTTTGAAATTCTGGAGGACTTCATGTAAAGAAACTTCTTCGAAGTGACGTTTTTCGATAAAAACTCTTATCATATTATAAATAACTGTTTTGTTATCTTTATCACCAAATAATTCAGGTGGGAATATAAAGTCTAAAACCCCAATAACAAACTTCGTGACCTGTTTGAATTATTTAGGTAATTTTTTTAGAAATTAAATAATAATTTAAGATAAATTATTATTTATAATATTACCTGGTAGGTATTGCAACCATTTAAACTATTTTCCTTTATATTTAATACCAATAATAAAGAATATAAGTAAAAATAATAATTCATAATTTGATTAAAATAAACACAATTATTACTTGGATCGGGCAGTGAGTGTTAAGCAAATGTTTATACTGGCATATGTCATGACGTTTAATTACGCGTTCAATATACGGAAGTAGGTGGTTTAAATAATCTGGGACTTTACAACGTAAATTCTGGTTTTAAAAAAATTATACAGATTAAATCTTTATATAATAATGCTCATTTAACGAGTATTATAATGAATATACAATACTTACATCTAGTTCCTTCCTCCTATCCATATAAACATAATATAATTCATGTGATGATCTACAGGTAAACGCGTTTGTCAGTCCGAACTGTCTTGGAAATATATATTTTATCACAGTATGTGACATATTGACATTATGATTTGAATACTTAGCAACATTGAGGATATCTAATAAAAATTATTATTTTATTTGTTGGTTTATATTACAGAAAAATAATAAAATTTTTTGATACTTACAGTTTTTTGGAAGTCCATACCAATAATCGCCAGATTTATTGTAGACTGGGGACCCAAAAAACATAACTGAACGAGAAAAGAACAAATTCGATACAGAATTTGTGTTGGCTTTTACAATTTTACGGTCATTCAAGACAATGACCTTGAAAGATTTTTCTAAATCTTCAATGGGACGTTTTCTGCTAATGGCTGGGCCCATAATTTGTATGTAGCATCCATTTTGTATCGAGAGAAATATAGAATAGTTGGTCAACAAGAAATGCATAGCTTCTTGACCGATTCTAGTAATTATTTTGAAATATAAAATTGGTTATGCTTTTTATATATTTATTTAAAATATAAATTTTGCAAAAACAAACCTCGTGTAGAGCTTCAACCAAGCGTTAGACTTTTTCATCAAATCAATTGTTGTACTATTAGCACATATAGTATATCCTTTTGGATTTTCGATTATTGACTTATAAGACTTAGTGAACCCATATCTTCCTACGTTCATATTGGGTTCATTTCTCCTATTAACTAAGACAGAAATAGCCATGTCTATTATCTACGAAATAATATTGTTATTAGCAAATATTCATAAGAAATAAATCAACATAAAACTTCTCACCGTATTTAAACCTATTCGTTCTTTTTCTATATTTTCCATTACTTCCTGCTTTTCTTTCGTAATGAGAGGGAAGTCTTTGCGAGTAGTATTGGGGCTTACTATAGTTTCTTGAAGAAGTTTTTTGTAATCAACATCGTCGTCTTTTTCAACTAATTCAATATTGGAAGCGAATGGTTGAAGTAAATCAAATAAAAAGATAAGGTCTGGATAGATTGCATTTAGTGTTGTGTTAGTAATTTTATTAATCATTGTACCTTTCGTGATGATGGGTGATTTTTATTTTTTTTTCGTGTTCGCTTAAGTGCTTACATGCATACATATAAATAGAAAAGATCGTCATCATGTAAGATCGATCAGATTGATCTGTCCAATCTGACAAAATTTTTCGATCGGTTTTTTTACAATAAAAAAAATTACTTATAAATTTGGTATGCCTTTAAGGAGAAGCATTAGAAACAAGAATAGAAGTTTAAATTTACGACAACGAAAGATCTCTTTAGAACAAGTTCATAATAATGTAACCAATGTAGACAATACAATTAATGTAGTTACTGAAGTGAAAGGTAATGATTTTAAATAATTAAAAATATTATATCTTGAATTAAAAATAACTTCCTTGAATATTCAGATAATAATGATGATGCCAATGAGAGTGAATTTGAACGCTATACTGAATCCACTGAATATAATGAAAATGAACCGTCTGAAAATATTGATAATGAAAATGATTATATCGATAGTGATGATGAAAATTACCATGTCGATAGTAATGATGAAAATTATCATGTTGATAGTGACAATGAAAATTACCATGTCGATAGTGATATTGAAAATAATTCTGTTAGTGATAACGAAGATGAACACAAAAATCTTGAAGATCCTGAAAGTATACTTGAAAATAGTTCATTTTCAAATTCTGTTTTTGATGGTGAATTTGGTCCTTATTTTTCATCAAGTACTTCTGCTTTGATATTTTCTTGGTTTACTAAACATATGATAAGTAAGTAAAATTAATTAATATTTTATCTTATTTGTAATATTTAAGATTAAAAATATTTCTTTTTTAGCAACACATGCATATGAAGATTTGGTAAAAATTTTAAACCACCCAAATTTTGATGTCAAAGAAGTTCCTACAAATATTAGATACTTTAAAAAAAATAGTCGAGCTCGATTACCATTATTAACTGTCAAAAAATATACTATACCTATATCTAATATGAAAACACAATCTACATCTCAACCTTCTAGAGAAGCATATGCAATATCATTATTTGATATTTTAACAAAAATTTTATCTAACCCACTTTTAATGTCTAAAATGTACAATGGTCCAGGAATTGAAGTAGAGAATAAAAGTGAATTTTGGCATGGAGAACTTTGGCAACAATCTCCATTATTTGGTGAACATAGTATTACAATAAATTCAGGTTTTTATTTTAAAATATTCTGTTTTTATTATCTATAAAATTATTAATTTACCATATTTAACTAAAATATATTTAATTTATTTATTTAGTTGAGTATTTTACAGGAGATTTCGTTCATATCTCAGCATCAAATCAGTTAAATTGTATGAGAATAATATCTATAGTTCTACACAATAATGGATTGAAATTAAAATTGCAGAGGTTTTTAGCTTTTGATGAACTTCCAGCTCAATTTAAAACAACTGATCGTTATTTTAATAGTAATAATAAAAGGTGGCTATTAGAAGAAGATAAATTTATAATAGTTGAACCTGAAGTTATAATTTGTAAAACATCAGTTTGGTTACAGGATCAGAATAAGCCTGATTATTATTCATATACTGTTTCTGAAATTTTATATAAATATCAAAATAAATGGAAAATTAGAGATGTATGTTATAGAATTAGGCATCCATCGGAATACTGTCCTTTTCCCAAAAATTTATATAATTTACCAACATGGAAGATATTTATAGATCTTTATTATGATGATTTTGGAACTTTTCGAAATGTGTACCACTCGTTAGGTGGTATTTACATTCAAATAGGAAATATGCCCTTTTCATTAAGAAAACTATTAAAAAATCATTTTGTTATAGGGTTTGTTCCTTTTGGTGGAAATTTTAAAGAATTTATTTATCCTTTTTTAGAAGAATTAAAAGAATTAGAAAAAGGCAAAGTTTTTAATATTCAAGGTAAAAATATATTAGTAATAGCAGGACTTGGTGTTGTTACTGCTGACCTTCCACAAGGAAATGATTTGGTAGGAGTTATGAGACATAATGCTAAAAGAGGCTGTCGTTCTTGTAAAATTGAAAATAATGATTCTTTAAAATCTTTTAATGATTTATCTAAAGAATTGCGATATCATCATTTAATGGATAAGGAGTTTGATCTTATATTAAATTCAGATTCATCAACAGTTCAAAAGAATTTATGTTCAAAATTTGGATTAAAAAATCAGAAACCAGTATTAGATTATTTAATACGTGATCGTTTTCTTCAAACTCCTCAAGACATTTATCATGCCATTGCTGGTAAAATATTAAAATTAATGGATTGCACTTTTAATATGTTTAATTCAAGTGGAAATAATGAATTCATTAAAAATTGGAAATTATTCGAAATGCCTATAAAGTGGCATAAATTACCAAATCCAATTACTCACAGGCAAAGTTTTATGATGTCTGATAGATTACGTTTAGCTATGGTTTTACCACATATTCTTCGACGATATTTACATATTAGTCATTTGAAAAATAATTCACTTATAGAATTACAAGAAAATTTATCTGTTAATATTAATAAAATTATAGACAAATTAATTCAATGCTGGGTAATAGTAGCAAAATGTGCTAAAGTTTGTTTTAGTTTATCATTTAGTAATGATTCTTATAACATTTTAAACAATTTATTAAATCAAGAAACAATTATACTTACAAAGGTATTAATTAAAGTTAATAATATTATCAAAATCCTATTTATTATTACATAGTAATTAATTAATTATTTATTAATTTTATAGACTTTTCCTCAAGATTTTACCTATCTTCCTAATTTACATATTAATGGTCATTTACAATATCATGCTAAAACATTTGCTACATTAGTAAATAGTGCTGTTGGAGTTAAAGAAATGGTTCATAAAACATTTAAAAATACTGTTCCACATACAAATGGCAAAATGATAGAGAAAGATTTAATAAAAAGATATAATACTCTACAAGCATTACGTAATATAATAGATGGTACTTCAGATTCTCGCTATAATAATCATTTAGGGAATGGATACTTTCAAGATAATATTTTTCGATCACTACTTTCTTCATAGTATGCTACGTCAACAACTACTATGCCTAATAATAAAGAAATAGGTATTATTTTTATTTTATTTTATTTGTCTGATTTTAAATTTTATTTATTACTAAAAAACTTTATTTATATGGTAGTTGATGAAACTGTTGAACCTCCAGATAATTGTATTTATGAAATTCGATTACAAACTAAATGGAAACTTTATCAGATTTTGCAAAATAATTTTGAAACGAATATGTCAATTGATGGTGATATTTATTATAGTCTTAAAACAGCTTACAAAGAATATTTTAACTTTACAGAATATCTTCATAACAACAAAATTGTTTATTTTAATTATATTACCTATAAAGTATTAAATCAAAAAGATGATGGAACATCAATAATACAAATACATGTTGGAGATATAGTAGAACTTGAAGAAGAATTAGAAGGAAACTCATATGCAATAATACAAGCAATTTTTTTGCATACATATAACAATGGTAAAACATATCCTTTTTACTTTTTAAAATGGTTTGAAAAAATCGAAGGGAGAAATGGTATTGATATGATGTGTCAAAAGTACAAAATATGCACAGAGAGAAAAAAATGGCACAATATTTTTCCCATTTCCTTTATAACTTCCATGCCTAAAGTTCATTTCGTTCATCAATGTGTTAACAATTGTTCAGTAAGAAATCATGATTTATCACAACCTTACTTACTAAATGAATTTTTTTATAATGCAATATAAATAAAGTCCAGCAAGTTTTGTTATCGTAGTATAGAAAAGCAGCTACTGATTTCTGCCTATTTGGTATTGGCTTTGTACTTTGTAAAAATGTAATACAGTGTACGAATAAAGATAATTGCTATGGAGTAGTGCCTAAATGATCATCAAAACGTATATTCTTTTTGGTTAGATTTTACTAGACAAATTAGGAAAATAAAACTTCAAAAAATTATATTCTATTATTATTTATTATTATAGATTATATAGATAATTATAATTATGGATTCATATTAATCTTAATCCTACTCGATTTGATTATTAGATTGGCCCTATTCTCCTTTTACCGAATTTGCACCTTATAAATAATTTTTCCAAAAAAAATTTGAATATTGATAAAAAATTACATCATCAAAAACGATTATTTCATTACTGCTCATAAAATGTATTAATAAATTATTGTTTATTCATATATTATCATATTATGTAAAAAAAATTATTATATTTATATTAATTAATTAATGTCATATTATAATTTATACATATTAATTAACAAAATATTTAAGACAACATTCGTAATTTGTAATAACGAAAAAAAAATTATTTTAGATTTAAAAAAAATCAAAAAAAAATTAATATGAAAATAAGTAATATGAAAAAAAAAAAATTTATTTTAGATTGAGAAAAAAAATTCACTATGAATGAAATGAATAAAAATTATTTTAGATTGAGAAAAAAAATATTTAATTTAAATAAACCTTAAAATTAAATTAAAAAAAAAAATGCCCACAAAACTCAATACGATTTGTTATGTACATAATATTGCTGAATATTTAACACAAGAAATCAATAACATCTCTTCCAGAACGTGGAATATGTTACTACAACGTCATTCACAATTCATACTCCATCCTACAATAGACACCTTACTAAATACCACCATATTGTTGGATTTAAAGAAAACCGCTCAACAAATCAACCATATGTAACATACTTCCCGTTCCTCCAAACAATTTCTTACTATCACAAGCATCTGATTTTATAAATTCTGAACAATGGATCCCACACTTCCACGCCACATGTTCAAATCAAAAACAAACCTACTGTCTTCGTCCGTCTACAACCAGGAGCACGAGTAATGTACCTCAAGTCCTCAACAATTTCCTAATAGAAGACGATATATGCAACAGTACTATAGGAATAATCACTGATATAAATCATGCAGAACAATATGCTTGAGTCGCATTCTCTGTCAGAGGATCGATAATTGAAGTAAATATTTACACAAACACACCCACTATTTTACCATCAACGGAAATAGTTCCCATCGGACCCAGTCTCCGATCCAAAACTGTTTCGCCCTAACCATTCACAAAACACAAAGATTAACCTTGTTAAAAGTCTCCCTCGCTCTAGATGGAAACATCTTCTCCCCAGGACAAGCTTACGTCGCCTCAGTAGATGTTCTATTTGGGATAATATCAATATATCCCACCTTGACAGATTAGCCTTTATGACCGACCCTAATGTTGTTTTAGAATATCAAAGATTAGAACAGGTGGTATCGAAAAATCCACATATCTTTTCATAAAATACATACACAAAAAATACACCAAAATAATCTTATACCATTAATATTATCATCATTTAAAAAATACATTTTATCATATTTTGTTCTTTTGTACAGATTACTAATAAATAATTCAATAAAATTTAAGAGAAAGAAAAAATTTTTCCCATGATTTTTTTTACTTTACTCGTATATCCAGATTAATCCCGTTATGTAGTACAGGCCACTGAAACCGACCTAAACCCAATCACATACAAGTGGTGGCTACTCTAAAATATACTGGCTAGTTATAATTAATAGTAAAATGCTCAGTACTACTTTATAATTCAATGCAATAATCGTTGCCATTTACCGTTAGTTTATTTTATTATGCCGCAGATTTTTGACTTTTTTAAACTTTTTGTCAAATTGTTCTAATAGTTTTTCGGTTGCAAAATTTCACTAAGGTTTAATTTTTTTTCCTTTTTTCTTTTTCGTTTCATTACTAAATTTGATTCACTTTTTTCAATTTTTTTTAGGTTTCGGTATTTTATTCTTAGTTTCAGCGGCTCTCTTTTCGGATACACCCACCATGAAACAACAAACGAAAGACCTTGAGTCAACTGAATTCACGCCGAATGACCTTGACGAGATTCTGCATGAACAATAGGCCATAGGATGTTATTATTGTGGGAGGCAAGATATTGAGAAGATAAGGGAACGTGGAGGCTTTTTGTTTTTCTTTACTAATTTTCACACACACACACACATATATTATAAGTCATTTCTTCCTTTTTAGTCTTTGTTCTTCTCTTTTTAGATCCCAACGATTGTTTCTTTTCTACGTTTGACGGGTAGAAATGAAGGTTAGTGTCCGATTTTTGTTATTGTTTTTTTTTGTTTTGTTTTCTTTTACTAACATTTATTATTTTCTTCTTTAGGTTTCAGATGGCCTGTTCTCATGAATTCGTAAGTTCCAGTACTTTTTTTTTGAGTTTTTATTTTAACGAAACGTTAACTAATGATTTCGTTTTTTCCTATTATTAAGCGGTTCGTCGAATTTCTTGGATGTGCGGAATTAACTAGTTTATGTTTTTGTTTCTGTTTTAGGCGATTTTTCGGGTTCTTGGACACGCGGGAAATTCGGTGAGGGGAGTCTTTGAATCTTTTACGAACCTTTTTTAGACGTAAAAACGCTATTATTCCAACATTTTTTATACTTTGTAGGAATCCGGTATCACTTCAGAATCCTGGACAAGTTTCTTTTCTTCATCGATGAATTCCTGATAAGTTATAATTTTTTCTTTTTGTTTTATTTATTCATTGTTGATCGGAAACATGCATGATTAATGAGATCATTATTTTATTGGGTTACGGTACACTTCAGTTGAATGTTTTGACGATTATCCCATACCCAAATATCGAGAAATGTTGATATAGGATCCTTTAAAATAAAAAAAAAATTTTAACGTTAATATTATAAAAAAAATACCATCAATTTCCAAAAATAAGCAACTCATACACACATGCATTACAGTCATTTTGGGTGAAATTATAAAATTTTGGCCAGAATTACAAGTAAATAAAGAGTGCTTATTTTTGGAAAATAATATTGACAAATAAACAAAGTATTTCTCCCATTCTTCTTTTATAAATAAGAAAGAATTAATTCTTTTCTCGCGTAAAATTTGGTTAGGAGGTATATTTAATAATATTAAATACCCTTTCTATCCTCCTTCCACAGGTTTTTAAAAAGAATTAAAACTTACATATTATAAATTTCTTTTGGAAGCATACTTAGTAAATATATTTATGCCATTTATAATTCTAGAAAAAACAGATAAATATTAAAAATACATTTATCTTATATTACCTTATCCTTAATTACTTTTTCCTTTAGCCATTCTTCAAATCTTTCTGCTTCTTCAAATAAAACTTTACAATGTAATATACTTAATTTGCAAAGTATATTTACAACCTCATCCATGCTAGTAGTAGAAGACATTTTAAAGAAATAAAACTTTGTTAAGACTATTTATAATTTTTTATAAAAATTTAAAAAAAATTTAAAAATTTTGGAACAAAAAATAAAGCAAGTTTGAAATGATAGACATAAATATTTATTTATATAAATGTTGCCCTACGTTGCTCGTCCTATCGTATTTGATCGTTGTACAACCTGAAGTGATCAAATTTTTTTGGGGGTTAAAAAAATTTTCTTTCACCACACGTAATGCGTAATGTTTGTTTTCAGTTGTTCGTTTGCTGGTTAATTAGACGTTTTATTTATCAAATAATGAGGAGAGGAAAAGAAGTAACCTTTTTTTTTATTAATTAATTACCGTAAGGAAGGCATTTGAATGCCATCCTTTAAAAAATTTTCTCGTGATGCCATCCAATAGATTTCAATAGATTTCGTGGCTGTGACCTTTTTTTATTAATTAATTACCCGTAAGGAAGGCATTCGAATGCCATCCTTTAAAAAATATTCTCGTGATGCTACCCAATAGATTTTGCGACCGTGACCTTTTTTTAAACCGGTTTTCATTGTTTTCTTTATATGAAAATTTATATGAATTTAAAGGTATTGTTAAGTACTTTGCATGAAATAATATTGATGGGATAAGTAAAATTTTTAAGTATTGTATTACACATTACTGCTATTCTTTCGAGATGGTTATCCGGGTTAGTCATAAAGGCGGATCTATTAAGCATTGCTATTTGAACATGGGGCACCTGCTAAAGGTGAGATCTGGTCGTGTAAGTTGACCGATAGGGTTCTGCACAGATCAGATTGAATCAGATTTAAGCAGGAACCGATCCAATTCACTTTAAAAAAATCTAATCTGATTCAAATCGAATCAGATTGAGTCAAATCTCATTCGAATCTAATCCAAATCTGATTCAAATATGTTTAAACTGATTCCTACAAAAAAAAATAAAGAAAAGAACGTTAATAAACGTTCTTGACATTAAATTTAAAATAAATCACCCAACACTACTTACAAGTTACCATTTCAGGAGTCTAAAGCCGATTCCTATAAAAAAATAAAGAATAGAACGTTAATAAACGTTCTTGTTAAATTTAAAACAAATCATCCAACGCTACTTACAAGTTTCATTCCAGAAGTCCAAGCCAGTTCCTATAAAAAAAATAAAGAAAAGGATGTTAATAAACATTCTTAGTGTTAAATTTAAATAAATAATAACACCACTCTAATACTACTTACGAGTTCAAGTTGATTTCTAAAAAAAAAAAAATTTGAAAAAAAAACGTTATAAATGTTCTTAAGTTTAAATTTGAAAAAAACTTCTTGCCATTATAAGTCCAAGCCAACACTCCTCCAAGAAGTTACCTTAAAGAAATGAAGAAGAACGTTAATAAACGTTCTTAAAATTTTATAAAAGAATAAAAACAAACATACCAGTGTTTTCAAAACGGCTTACTAAGACTTCATTTCCAATTCTTCTAAGAATCGTTCTAAAGAATAAAAGGAATGTTGATAAAAGTTTTTAAATTTAAAAAATGCTGGTTTCTTTCAAAGAAGATAGGTCTTTTTCATTTCGTACCATTGGCCACCCAGTTTTTTGAATTGAATAGTACCTGAGGAACTGTGTACTACTTATGAGGTATTATATTAGGGTAGTTTTATATTATGTTATACTGCAGTATTGTAGTCGCACAAATTTTGTAATATAAATAGATCAAATCAAATGAAAGATTGATAAAACTATTATTTCGATCCGATAATATATTTGTTTTAAAAAATAAAATTTTTTTGCATTTCATCAAAATCGAGAGCATGAATTTCGATAGATGGATCCGGACAAGCAGGATTTGGTTGGTATTTATTTTTAACTATTTTTTTTTTAACGAACTGTCACTAACAGTTCTTTTTTTCTTTTACAGGCTATTCTCCGCGTCTTTGGCTACTTTTCGAGTGATGAGATTTTGGTGAGGAGATGGAGATTTTTTTGAATAATCTAATGGTTCTTTTTCTTTTTTTTGTAGATATGGATGGTGAATTATGAAAATATGGTCTTATTTCATAGGTAGTAAGTTTCGATACTTCGAAACCTTCTTTGGAGTTTAAAGTTAAAAGTTTGGTGTATTATCATAGATAATAAAATTACAAATTATACCAAAAATCCATTACACTATGACTGGAAAATTTTAATTTATATTCTGCAAATCAACACAATAAATATTGGAAAATGCAAGATATTAATTACAAATTGTTAATAATTGAAATAAATTACTTCTTCACACATTATGATTCTCCATACCTCCCAGAAGAACAAGTTGGTACTTAGCAATCTTTTTACCAAGTATCCCAATAATAATGTGTGCGCAAAATAAAGCCATATTGTTGTCAATTTTTTTTCATTTTATCGTTTACTTTTCTCGAAAAAAAAAGCCAGTGTGTGCAAACGAGGTTAACCTTAAAGGTTCCAGCAAGATGATTTTATGATTGATGATCGAATTTAATTCACCTATACAGGAAAAATGCTATTAGAATTACTAAATTGAAAAAAATAACGAATCCTTCCTAAATTATTCGGTCTCTCACCTCTTATTTCTTCTAAAGCATAGTATTTAATATTTTAGCATTCTCAAGAGACAAATTTCAAACTGTAAATACTAGTTATTTTTGTAAAATTCATTTGGTTTGAATTTTAAAGTAGTGTGGCAAGTGGCAATATTAACAATCGAAATTTATTAATATTATTATTACGTAATTAATTTTTTTTAACAAGCCACCTCCTTAACTTGAAGAAAGTTTGAATCCTGTGTATTTGAATACTATACAGTATTTAAATAACAATCTCAGGGGCAAAGTTTATTCATTTCGTAATATGTTGATTATATTATATAATCGTGACTTTGATAATAAAAAAAAATAAATATAAGCTCGTGGTTTGCTGAAGAATTGACCCCTAAAAATAAAGAAATTGAACTTTTCTCGTGTTTCATAAAATTTAAGCATGTAATCTATTTTGATTCATTTGTTATCAGAAGATTTTTCGCGTAGTTAACGCGTTTACTACATTAATATAAATATGAGCTGATTTCCGCACTCTTTCTACTCTTTCTAAATAAAAATGGCACCAAAAAGAAAATCTAACATAGTCCCCGTAAATGCTACTTCAAAAAGTAAGTAGATAAATAATTTCTTTAATAAATAATATCACATAAATTATAGATCATAAACTGATATTATTTCTTCTATTATACGGTTGCAGAAGGATCGAAACAATCTACATCAAAAAATAGAAGCTCATTAAATACAATTGAAGCAAGATCTAAGAAAGATAAATCCGTAGAGGAAATATTCTCAGACTCAGAAAATGTCGCAGAAGAAATTGAACAAGAATTAACTATAACAAAAAGAAGTTTACCTAATACTGAAGAAGCAAGATTTAAGAAAGACAACTTCGTGCTGGTAGTTCCCCCGGAAATAGAAACTGTTGCAGAAGAATCTGAACAAGAACAAAGTATGTTGAGGAAAAGAAGCCTACCTAATCCCGCTGAAGTAAGATCTAAGAAAAAAAAAACTATACGTGAGATTCCCTCAGAAATAATAGATTTAGAAACAGTTGCAGAAGGATCTGAACAACAAGGGCAAGGTTTGTCAAGATCAAACTGTTTGCTACAGATATTTAGAAATGAAACTAACAGTCTTTTTAAACAAAAAGAAAATTTACGTTTTTTCAATGAAATAACAAATGATAATATTCCTGCATTAATTCCAGATCGTCCAAACATGTGAGTATCCACAAACAACTATTTACTAATAAGGATATAAATATCTCACTTTTTTTTTCTTTTTAAAGCAGAAATAATTTAGAATCGTATACAGAATTTGAAATTGCCAATTTTGTTGCGGATCATCCTTCAATATTGGAACTGGCTAATATTCTTAAAGAATCTAAAAGCGTAACGGCTGGAAATTCTGGAAATTGCAAATTGCCAGCTTTTTCTTTTCAGGTATGGTAATAATTTATCAGTTATTTTAATGTAAATTTACTTTGAATTAATAAAATCTATCACTATTTAGAAAGAAAAAGGTATAAATAACAAACTTTTGATAGAAGAGCTTAAGCTCCTATTTCTGAAGTGTCAAAAACCAAATTCGCATGTTTTTAATGCGATTATTTGTGGAATTTATCCAGATTTGAAGGATAAACTTCATCAGGAAACGGCAAAGAACATTCATCATGAATGCGTGCTAAAAATAGCAGACTATAGGCATAAATACGTGAAAAAAATATCTGAAATGGTGAATGCTTACATAAAAAATGAAGAGTAAGAATCAAAATAAATTACAAGTGATTATTGTATTATGTATCAATAAATATTAACTAAAATTTAATATATAGAAATGATACAGTTGAAGAATATGTTGGCAATTCTTGGCGGAATATTTTGTCTATGCATCTTCGTGCTATTCAAAAAGATGAATTTGAATCGTCAAAAGATGATCAAGAACAACTTAAAAAATTTGTAATAGAATCATTTAAAATTGTTCATAATTATGAACTAAATAAGGATGGTGCAGCCATTGATCCTCCAGGGGATATAATTAAAAAAACTTTAGATCGTATTACTTTAGAAATTAAAGTTCCTTCCGTATCAAAGCATAACATTGTAAATAATCTAGATCTCAAAAAACTACTTAGATAATTTTTTTACAATAAAATGGATGTATTATGCCAAATAAAATAAATTACTTCATAACCCAGTATTAAATTTTTACAATTTTTGGCTTTTTAAATCTATGATTGCAAAAATCGATAGGAATATTGTAAATGATGAAAATTTGATCTTTTTTTCCTATTCGGCTAAATTAAAGCCCTATAAAAAATATATATACGGTTAGTATACTGTATTTTCGTATTTTGCGAACAGTATATTTATAGTATTATTACCGTATAATTACAGTATTTTCACATACTGTATATATTCGGTATTCTGCACACCGTATCATATATACGG